CTGCTTTCAATGAATCGAGGATTGAAGAACGTCTATTTTCAGGCATTGAAATTTCTGAAGTGTTGATATGTTTGTCTGTCAAAGGTAGTTTTCTGACTTTTTGATTATAATCAATCTTCTTGCAATATCCTAAAGGCGAATTTGGATCAAAGTTTTCTTCTGTAGTATTATTTTCGTTAATACCAACAGATGATTTGATTGGAGAAACACTAAAATAAGTATCTTCCATTGAGGCAGGTAACTTTCTAGAACATGATTCAGCAGCACTTTTTTTAGATCCATTAATAGAATTCCTGGTATCACAAAAAAAATTACAATCATCATCTATTTCACCACATTTAAAAGTTTCTTCTTTTAGAGGAGATAAATCTTTGGATAGCATTGTTCTAATACTCTTGTTGAATTCCTCTTCTTTTTCCACTGGCATTTAAAGGACAAAAATTAAAAAAGTATTTAGAATAATTATTTGGAGGGAATCACTTTAAGGAGAAATCTCCAACTTTCAAGGAGGATTCGGCATCTATTTGACTGTTAAAAGTGAAGTATGCACTAATCACACAACTTCAAACAATAATTTCTCGACGAAAATGGCATAGAAACACAAGAGGCTTTATAGATCCAGGAATAAAAAGAAGTGGCTTTGAATGCCATTATTGATACAAATACTCTTGCCAGGATTTCTGCACAATATACCCATGTATCAGACATTATATAGTTCTTTACTTATAATTATTTCACATACAAAAGTATATATTAATTATCCAATCAACTGTAATATAACCTGATTGGATGAATTTTCGTTTATTTGTTAAAAACTCTTTAAGATTAAGATTTCAATGGAGATATTTATGGCGAATTGTTTTGAAACAGTTTTTGATAAGCTTAAATGTATAACAAACAATATAGAGCAACCTATCGGATGAAAAATGTAAATCTAGTTACAATTTATTAATATCTTCCATTACATCAATGCCAAATAATCTATTCTTCATTATCTCAATCTGCGTTCTATCCAAAATAACTTCTAGCGACTTAAAAAATGCAGCAGATGTCAACAGTGCATCACTTCCTGCTTGATGTGCAGTTCCTTCCCTCGAGACACCCAATGTATTGCTAATTTCCTGAAGCCCTTTTCGTACATAGTCGGTATTTTTGACCAAATACTTTAGATCGTAAAATGATGGGAACAGTAACCTCATTATTTTGTAAAACTCACATTCTCTTTCTGGAAGCCGATTTCCGGTTAAAAGCTTGATTAGGTATGCAAAATCATATGATGAATGAAAACTGATCCAAATGATATCAGATGACATCACCAATCCGCTAGTAAGCAATAAACATCCAAGATCTCTAACATCAATGCCTCTCTCATCATGATTTTGAAAATCAATTTCGGCTTGTTGCAGCAAGTCTATGGATTCTTGGGAGTACATGTCAGTTTCTAAATTGAAATGTAAGTTAAACTGCCATGTGTGAACAGGAGATGGCCTATTCCCATATCTATCGCTTAGAGAAATTCCAAGCTGAATTAAATTTAAAATATCTACATTGCAGCGTAGCTGCTGATAAACAAAAGAGGATGAATTCTTGAATGTTCCAAGAGGCTTGGCAACTACGCCCGGGAATTCCGTGTCCATAGATACGTAATTGTATTCTTTTACAAAATAGCGAATATTTGACATTTCTTGTTCAAGATTATGCTTCCACACATTTTTTATCAAATCTTCTTCTGAGTGCATGGGTCAGAAAAAGAAAGTATATTAAACTTTTAATTCTAGTTAATTAGAGCACTCAAATTATTTTTACATATTGTGAAAGGGTGGTTAAGAACATCTATTTAGAGAATTTTGCAGTTGACCCCGTAAACTCAATGGCTAACACGAGTATATTTCTATTAAAACTACTCCTTTTGGCTTTTATAGTGTTAATGCCATGGTATATGACTAAGGACATTCGTTTAATATTATTAAGTTGTAGAGATATATTCTATAAATATTTTGTCTTTTCATACTATTTATGCAAAGCTGTTATTATCAACAGAATCCTTTCTCCAATGAAGAATTCAGATATTCAAAAATAATTTGAAAATATTTATCCCATGGAAAGAAAACGTACTTTTTTACACGATGCCATAGAAATAGCCTCTATGGGTTCGCATGCTTTGGAAAGTGATGACTTCACAAATTGTTTCTTATCAAATACATTACCTAACAGAAAACTGACGATTTCTAGAATTATCTCTATACTCATCAGATATTTTATTCTTTTGCCACTCAGACTTATATTTGCTTGTGCAGGTTTTTGCCTGATCTCTGTTGCATTTATTTTTGGAGAATATTATCAAATAGACTGTCTTGTAAACAAGACATTTTTCGCTTTTATGAAGTTATTCTTAGTAGCATTGAACATTCGCTTGCGTCATTTTGGGAAGAAAGAGAAATTAAAGGAACCATCCGTCTATGTATCAAACCATACATCCTTTATTGATTTTATTGCTTTAAGCAGCTACAAATTTCCCCATGCTTGTGTAGCAGAACATCATGGTGGCCTATTCGGGTTTATTTTCGACTTTATTATTTCCAAAAACGGTTCGATTTCATTTAAGAGATCGGAAAAGCAGGATAAGCTTAGGGTTATTTCCAAGATCCAGAACCATATCAAAGGAAACAAGGCACCGATGCTAATGTTTCCTGAAGGCACCTGTGTCAATAACAAATATACATTATTGTTTCAGAAAGGTGCATTCGAGTTAAATGCCATAGTTTGCCCTGTAGCCATTTCCTATAGAAAAACGTTGCTTGATCCATATTGGAACAGAAGAAAGCATGGTTTTGTAGGACATCTGATATATTTGATTACTCGCTGGAGAATAGATGCAGAAGTCTATTGGATGGATCCGGTAAGGAAAGCAGAAAGTGAAAGTCCTGTCGAATTTGCACATAGAGTCAAAAAATTAATTTCAGACAAAATTTGTTTGAAAAATAAGGCTTGGAACGGTTATTTTAAGAGCCAACCTATGCATGCCGACGGAGACATTTTCCGACAGAGCTTTAAAATTGTTTATAGACAAATTAAATCAAATACATTGAACGATCCAGAGTTTGATGATTCTACAGATAAATTAAAATTTCTCGAGTACTATAGAAATGAGGAAGATACATCATGTAAAAGATATTTTGGAAAGCTAGCATATGAGTCGTTTACGAATGAGTGTTGTAAGGAATACTTGAGAATAAAGTCATTATCTCATGAGGACAGAGATGTATTGATAAATTCTGAGGAATACAATAACTACACCTTACCAATGCGAAGACGAGGTCTTAAAATGGTAAATTGCAAATGTGTACAGAAGCATAACTGATTAAACAAGTTCTATTTGAGAGATTTAATTGTATGATGGTCAAACAAATGTTATGATCAGTATATGTTTTGAGGATTAATTAATGTACATTTGACATTTTGTGTGTTTTGAAATACTTGATAGGCTATTTAGATTTAATCAATTTTCAATGTTTGTTTAGAAAATATTTTGTTTATTAAACGATGATATATCTGAATTTAATAGATTCAAAATAGTAAGTGATTTTGAACACTTCAGAGCACACTTGCATAATATATTGCATCCAAAAAGTTTGGAAATAATTTTGATTAAAAAATTTGATCATCAATAAACAAAACTTCTATATTTAAGCAAAAAAGCCCCAAATACCCATGTTTATGCCTGTATTACAGCATATTTTTTTTCTATCATTGGCCTTAGCAAGTGAATATATATCATCTTCAGAGATTGGATGCTATTTTCCTAAACAAGTAAATCCTACCATCTGTGGAGTGAATGCATTGGAGGCAGGTCCACTGTCCAAAGGATTTAGAGAGTCTGTTCAATACCTTACAAATAAAAGGCTGAATGATGAAATAATAAAAAATTATGCCATCTCCACCTCTTGTAATACATGGTCATATGATATGTTCAAAAATGCAATTGTGAAAGCAATTTATGAATTTACCAGCAATGAAAAAGTGAAATTGACCAGCATAGATAATATTCTCTTACACATTTACAATGCATATGTTAACTATAGACCACTTAGGCACGATGATCTGGTGTTCTTTATAGCTACTGCCTTACATAATACAAGCTGTTTTAAACCTTTACAAATTGATACCAAATGCGATTATAACATTTCCCGTGGTCTTCTACAGATTACTTCCAAAGAATCCTATGCGTTATTAAACAAATGTACTTCTGATAGAATCAATTATGTTGAGCAACCTTATCTACTCAATCACTTAACATCCCAAACTATTTTTGATGAGATGCTATTTTTCATGGAATTAATGTACAACAAGAATCCAAGCACTCCATTCTCATTCTATGAATATATTGTAAGGCTTAATCCTAAGGAGGCTATACTTTTAAACAAGACTAAGGTCACTGATTGTAAAATTTTGTTCAATTCAGATTTACCTGAGCGCTTGCAGAATAGATTCAAAATATATTATTCTGTAAAAAAACATTTGACTGGCTTTGAAACAGACTGTGCTATATATCCCACTATATGCCAATAAAATGATGATTCAGATTTCAAGTTTACTATTTTATCTTTACACATCAAATTTTATTTCTGACACATTCTTTATAAGTCTTTTATCCTATTACCTGATTTATATGTAATCTTGATCATTCATATAAATTTGTTTAAAAATTGTGATAGAGTAAAAACATTGATACAGCACAAAAAGATTGTCAATACTTCAAGTACTTATTAATTTAGCGATATCAATACAAAAAATCAATGTTTATTTGATATAGTTTCGGATTATTCATAAATAGAAATCTCAAAATACTGTATACTAACTTATGAAATCCCATCTTACAATCAACTTTTCTCAACTTTGAGTTTTGTTTCCTTGAAAAAGCTTCACAGGGTAAAAACAATTGATCTACAAGATTAAAATCCAAATCTCAACAATAAAACTAGCCAGTAGTCTAATTTAGTTTATTCATCCTGAACTGAAGCTGACTCTGCATATCTTATGTTTGATAATTCATAAGCACTAAGTTTAATACCTTGTTGTTCATCAAGAGAAATCAACAGCTCGACACCATTTCCAATAACGATAGCCTTTGTCATCAGAACCGAAAACAACTTCCCATTGGAGTCTTCCAGGTAAATGAAGGTTTTTCCATCAGTTTGAACTTCCATTCTCTTAATAACACCAACTCTTCCCTGATTAGAACCGGAATAGATGAAAACAACTGCACCAGCTTCGAAACTATGGTGTGAGACAATTTTGTTTGTTCTAATATCCACCTTAACCATATCATTAATCGAAATGGATGGATCACAAAATCTAAAATTAAAACCATCAAGAGTTCTAACATAATTAACTCCATTAACATCATCCTTTCTAACGACCTTGGTTAGCCTGAACTGAGCCTCTGTAGCGGTAATTTTATGCAGGTGAAATTTTCTATTAATATTGAAAAGAAGCCTATAATGTTCATTTGTTTTTTTAACTGTAACAACATCGAAAAGACCAACAACTGTCTTTGGGTTGCTAATGTCCTTTCCATTAACACTAATCATATTATTCCTAAGGATATAGCCCACCTCTTTTCTAGCCGATGCTAATTTAAGGAATCGAGTCAGAATATAGTAGATTGGAATAGAGAGTTCTTTGTTGTGAGCTCCAGGAAGTGGCCTACATGCATATTTTCCTCCGGTTTTTTCAAGTCCCCAGGCACTCGATGCTGCTAATCTCTTTAAGTGACGATGTCCTCCAGATGGCATTTATTTGGGGATAAAATTTTTCAAAAAATTTATTTACTGCAGCGGATAAAAAACCATTTTCAAAATGAAATACAGGTTGGATAGTGATGATTGGAGGTGTATGGTTGCAATAAACAGTATGTAAAGATAACAATGCATAATGATACATGTATTTGATGGTAGATTGGAAATTCGTGCGCCTTAACAACCAATACAAAATATTTTCTTTTAGAGTCCTCCAAATGAATGATAACATTTTAACTTTTTTACGAATAAATGACAAAAACCAAACAAATCAAGCATATATTTCAGACACTAACAATATTTCAATAAATGAAAAGCATTTTAAGGTAGATTTCATTATGAACAATAAGAGCCAGGAGGAAGTATTTTCCATAATTGAAAGGAGTGTTATAGCCAGCTGTATTCAAGGATACCACTGTACAGTATTCGCCTATGGTCAAACTGGTAGTGGCAAAACTTATACTATCCAAGGGCATGAAGAATCGCCTGGACTAATTCCAAGGACATTGAAATATCTTCATGGATTCTACCGAAGTTTAAAACTGAGCTTTATTGAAATTTACAATGAAAACATAATGGATTTGAGCAATGATTTTTCAAACGAAGTGGTTTTAACAACTCGGGACGACAATGAGCACGGAGTTGTTGTAGATAACTTAAATATTGTTCAAACAGATACGTTTACCGAATCAATGATATTCTATAGAAATGGCATTTCAAATAGAAAGACCAGCTTTACATTGATGAATGACCAGAGTTCAAGGTCCCATTCTATCTTTACCATCTATCTCGAAAAAGATGAAAACAATATTTTGAAAAAAAGCAAACTGTGTTTCGTTGATTTGGCGGGTTCTGAAAAGATAAAGGACATTTACAACAAAGCAAATGAATCAGATCAGTTGAAACAGGAAGTCTGTGGAAATGATGTTAATAACAGCTGCATTAATATCACCAGTTCAAGTAATAAATTTAAAGAAACCACTAATATCAATAAAAGTTTGCTCTGCTTAGGAAAAATTGTTCACAAACTGGGTACAAATGACAAATGGCATATTTCATACAGGGATTCGAAGCTAACATTTCTGTTAAAAGATTCACTGGGGGGTAACTGTAAGCTGGCCATTATTGGTAATGTTAATCTAGAGTACCCTGCTGATTCCATATTAACGCTTCAGTTTCTAAAGCGTACAAAGATGATTAGTAATAATCCAACCATCAACTATGAGCTCTTCGATAGAAATGTTAAGAATATATTAAATACCTTAGAAACTGAAAATAATGAACTAAAACGTCAAATGAAACGAATCAGCATGAGTGAGTCTATTGAATATCATCTGAATAAGAGTAAAAGAGAGATTGACACAGCCAAATCAGACCTACAGTCTATTAAAATCTCGATCAGTGAGTTATCCAAAATATTTTTTGTAAAATCCAAGCTGTTAATGGATATTGATCGACAAATTGACCAAATTAATTTGGCAAGACGTGAAGAAATCAGTATCCAAATTTTAGACACCACTGATCGTTCCACAATTCCAACTAAAGATTTTATAAACAGGGATAAAGTTGATCTCACTTGTGAAAATAAAATTAATAATGACAATAAAAAGTAATAAAATATATTTAGAATATCTATATTCACAAACAATATGGCTCAATAACTCCTCAAATTCCTATTTTCTCTATCGTATACTTTTAAATTGTAAACCATACTTCCAAAGATTCCACACATAAAATGTAAAGATATTTTATTCATTGTATAAATTTCCTGAAATTCTCGTTAGTTTCCAGGAGTTCTTGGAATGTTCCAGTCTGCTCCACTTTTTTATCATTTAAAAAAAATATTCGATCGAATAAAGGTAGATATTCAACACCATGGACAATCATAACTATGGTCTTATTTTCTAAATGCTTAAACAAATTGTCCAGAAGTTCTCGTTCAAATTTCTTGTCCATTGATGCTGTAGCTTCATCTAAGACAAATATGGGTGAATCCTTTAGGGTTGCTCGGATCAAGCTAATTTTCTGCTTCTGTCCCCCTGACAATTTGTTACCCCTAGGACCCACCCGCATATCATATCCCTTTTCAAGATTTATAAACGTTTCATGTGCTCCAAATTTCTTGGCTAAATCTATCACTCTTTTTCTCTGCTCGTAATTCTTTTGAAATTCTGCATCCTCATTTGATGCCAAATTCGATATTTCAACTTCATTTGACATAGAGCATCTGTCTTCCGCAGAGCGATTTGCCATGGACTCACCCAACAAAATATTATTCATTACAGTATCGTCAGATGTAAAATCCTCCTGGGGCACATAGGAAATAATATCAAGAATACCTCGTTCTGAAAGATTATCTCTGTTTATACCATCTATTTTCAAAATTCCTGAGGAGTTAGTAAATCTCATAATGCTCTTTATAAAAGAGCTTTTGCCTGTTCCATTCTTACCAACCACTGCAACCTTTTCGTTCTTGTATATTGTTTCACAGATGTTCTCGACAATCAAATTATCTTTGTGAAACACTGAGAAATTTTCAAACTCAATTGAATGTTCAAAAGCCACTGGTTCTATAGAACTCGTTGAGCTATTGAATGAGCCATTCCTGGGTTCGACATTGGTGTCTCCAGTTCCGGCTGCAAATGAATGGTGATCTACAGATGTAAAGTCAATCTGATTGAGATACTCGATAAGTGAATCTATTTCGTTTCCCAATCGCTTCAAATCCGATGCCTGGTAAAAATACAAGATTACAACTTGTAGTAAGTCTGACTTAAAGTACCCTGGATAAAAACTAAATATGGACATTGTTACCATGAACGGAATATTTATGGTGAATGTGAGTAAATAACGGCTAAAAGCTTCATATTTGCCCATTTTCATACTTGTTTGAGTTTGTTCTCCAATAATGTTATAAAAATCAGTAGCCTCGCGCTCCTCTAAGTTATATGTTTTTATTGCTTCATAATTCAGCAGTTTGTCCGATAGCTTCATGGCTGTGTTCTGTTGCGAGTTTAATAGATCGTAATGATATTTGATTTTAAATTTAATATAAGTAAATACGGCAACAATATAGAATAACGGAACAAATATGAATATAGATGCAACCTTGAAGTTTACTCGAGCCCTGGTGTTGTACACACTAAATATAATGTTTCCAATTATAGATGAAACATCGATAATAAGAATTTGGCAGCACATGGGTGCAGCGTAAGACTTTATAAACACTGCATATTGTAGTTCTCCGGGAGTTCTTGAATGGAAATCTTCAAAACTGAGATTCAGCACTTCTCTTAAGTAGTGGACAAATTTTTCTCTTTGGATGCTTTGTAACATATAGGTAAAAATCATCGATGGAATGAACTTAAGAGTTGTAGTGAATAACCCAAGTAGAAGAACATCTTTTAAAGACTCCCTAAATGCTTCTGTTTTGAAGCTTTCCTTCAACTTAGACGAAGCTGAAACACTTTCAACCACATAATATTCTGCGATAATATTAATCATCATTGAAAATATAGAAACCACCATGACACTTCTATCGTTTAGTATTGTTGTGTTGATTATGTTTTTTACGATGTAAAAGTAGTTTTTTAGTCCGGGGAGTTTCTGCATAAAGAGGAGGTTTTTTAAAGAAAACAACAAAAATATGAATTTGTTTTAGAAAATAAACAAAAATGATTGGTCAAATTTTGATCAAAAAGAAATGAAAGTTATTACAAAGTAATTCAAAAATAACATGTGTTTGAAAAGTAAGAATCCACTGCTGGGTGGTCCAACTACTTTTATGGTTTGATAAACATGTATTCAAATAATACTATAAATTACATAAATAGTGTAGAGTATGTGTTCAAGAGCATATCCGATTTTCACTATAATAAAATAATATTCAAGCTTTATTTATTTGATCCTATGATTGTCCTAGTTTTTCTTTTTTCTAGAAATTTTATTTGGTGATTCATTTGTTGCGCCTTGGACATTTTTAAAGAGAAATTCCACATCTATAACTGTTTGATTTCCTAATGCCGATCGCATAATACGATGGTCTTGTGCAGTAATCAGGCCAAATAATTCTGGATGAAATTGGAACCCACCCCCCTTATTAGCTTCTTTATACTCATTCATTTTACCTTCCGTATCAAAGCAAGGAATATAATGGCGCGGAATGTACTGTCTCATCACCTCATTAACACTGCCAATTTTGAAATGGATATTTGAAAAATCTATTGATTTTTTGTAAAGATCTGACGGAGATATTTTATCAACATCAATCTTCATAGAACTGTTTAATCCGTCATTGGGGGAAATATTGTTCTCTTCACTCTGTATAGTAGTCAAATCTCCCTTTATTTTGCCACATTTACTAGTTGAATGATCAGTTAGATTGGTTGGCTTTTTGATTCCTGCCAGTTTACTTCCTCCAAATTTTGTTTTAGATTCTGATCCATCTTTACCAGCCATAGGCTGAGTTTGTGATTTATCCATGTTAGATAAATTTTCTTGTGTTAGAAGCTTATCAGATTTAGTAAATGGGGTTTCTTTTGTTAAAATGGGGCTATATCGTACAGAGCCTGCCAATGGATCCTCCTCCTTCTGATCTGTTTTTTGTTCA